AAATCTGGGAAATTTCGTGAATTTCCCGTGATATGATGTTCTGCATCTGTTCACACCTTTTTGAAAACAGCTATAATATTTCCTTTTTAGACTCTTTCGCCTTACTGTTAATTCCTTGCTTTGTTACATCATCACCAAACACAATCCCTCCATTTCGTCATTCTACCCGCCATTCTGAAACCTTGGCCTTCATTTGCAAAGTATTCTCAATTTGGTTATATGACTTATCCTTCGATTGTTTGTTGTTGAGGCGATTATGCAAGTTCCATGCAATCTTGGTTCGAATACGACTTCATGCGTCGATCAAATGCGGGGCATTCTTGTCGTAGAATCACAGGCATAAGCTTATTCGACACATACCTAACCAAATTCTATAAAAAATTTTTGTTTAATTTTATATAGATTCATAGAATTAAAATAAAAAAATTTGATTAAGTTTGGTTAGGTAAATGTTGAGTAATATTCGTTCAAAGTTTCAGTACTTATTAAAAAAAAGCTATGGTCAAATTTTGGTTTGAGCTTTAAACAAATATTTCTCGATAATTGCTTATTCAAATTCGATAAAAATTTGTTTATTTTAATTATAGAATTAAAATAAAAAATTTTATCAAAATTTGTATAAGTGGTAATCTTTACTTATGATAAAGTTAAAATAAGAAAAATTTTTCCTGACTTTGGTTGTTTTTTTTATCTGAGATATTTATATTTTTACACTTTTACTAAACATTTCTCAATTACTATTATACCAAATTCGACATATCTCTTTTATTTTGATTTTGCAACTACAAAAATATAGAATTAAAATAAAAACATTTCACTGAACTTGATCAAGTAGTTATTGAAAACCTTTGCTAAAAGTTTTTAAAAAATTTAAATTTTTTATAATAGCCAATGTTCAAAATTGCAAATCAGTGAAAATCTGTCGGTGCTGCTCAGTGATGGTAATGACCTGGTCATTTGCAAATTTTTCAAATGACCCCGAAATGACCGGTCATTATCGGTCATCTCAATTTTGGGTCATTTGGAAATGGTTCGTGACCAAATGACCATGGTCATTTAGAAATGACCGGGTCATTTGATAGTCATTTAGTCTATAGGTTTTGAATAGGCAAAATTTAATGACCCCAAATCATCAAATCATGACAAAATCATTAATATTAAGCTCATTTACGCAGGTCATTTGCATATAAAATAATTTGATTGGTCGAATTGCTCATATAAAAAGTTACTATATCAACCTTTATTACATTCCTAATCGATAATCGTAGCTATATACGTATTAAAGTAAAAGTCTTATTAAATCAATTATTATTTATAAATTGAAAACCTTTTTATTTTGTATAAATGTAAAACGCGGAACTGAATTAAATACCAATTGACTTAGTAAAATTTTTGACTTTAATATATAGCTATGCTTATCGATTATATTTTAATTTTGTTTGGTGGCAAATTCTGATTAGCTAAAAAGCAATATGCTAGGAAAATCACCCTTCGGAATTTTCCGATCGGGCTAATTCGGAAAAGCTTAGACCAAAATGTCGCTTCATATTCATATGTAAACCATTTTTTTACTTCACTGATTCGACAGGTTATTTAATAAACTATCGAATTAATAAAGCAAAAGGTGATTTACATATGAATAAGAAGCGGCATTCTGGTCTAAGCGTTTCCGAATTAGCCCGATCGGAAAATCCCGAAGGGTGATTTTTCTAGCAAAGATCCCATATGTTAAATAACCTCCTAAGTCATTTAAGTCTCGAATGACCCAATGACTAGTCATTTGTCATTTAAGTTATGCTATCATATCAGGAAGCTAATATTTCAAAACTCGCATGTGTGATAATTCAAATTATTCTAAATTTGAAAAAAAAGTTACAACTGTTAAAGATTATGTATGTGGGTGCGTTATTTGGTTGCGCATAGGCGTTATTTTGAGTCAAATATACGATTTCAAAAAAATGACAATTTCGAAATAACACCCATGTGCGTTATTATGCACCTGTACGGTATAAAGAATATTTCTTTTTTCGTCTAGTCTTTAACAAAATTACAATAATTCAGTAATTGATGGTCTGTTTTATAAGCTAAATTCAAAATTTATAAATTTATGAGAATCTATCAAATTTATAAGAGCATAAGTCGGACAATATTAAGATAATGGAATGAAGATAACAATTCGCTTCATTACAAATACGATTTGTAAATAAAAATATTTGAATATTTTATTTCATTACAAATAACATATGATTTACAAATAACATAAATGCAAATTTTTACATATTAAACTCATTATTTTTATGTTAATTATTCTATTTAATCTTTAGTGATTGTGAAATTCGCACTGTTTAGAAATTTGTGATAAGTAAAAAATATCTAAAAATAAAATCAATTTAATATTATAAAGCATAAAATACGTGCCTTACACCAAAACAGGTAGACCAAGAAGTCGTATTCGCCCAACTCCTAGCAAAGAAAGTAGCAGGGAGCTCTATATCCGAGGGTGAATATATTGTAATGTCCGCGCTTGCATGATAGTTCTTCATTTGAAAACCATCATTCCATAAAATAGCTAATTGTTTCCCATCATCAGCCTTAAAAAGTTCTAAATCCCAGATATAATAAATAGCACTAGATTCAGTTGACCATTCACACTTAATTTCACTATTATTTTTAAAAGACTGTGGTAATGAAATTTTGAATCCTTTATGAAAGATAGTGGTTAAGTAAAGATATATTGCGAAAGAAAATATTGTTTAGGAGGAAATAACTAAATTTATCACCTTTACAAAGATCTCTTTTGTTTTCACGCTTTATAAGCCCTGTAAAAATAGTATTATGAGATATTAATATTTAGTTGTGTTGTTAATAAAAGCTTTTTCACTCCTTAAATACCTTCAACTTTGGGTACAGCGATGGCATTTACTCCATAAAGAAGAGTATACGATAAAGAGATTAGGAATAAAGCAATAAAAGTGGATTTTACGTTCAAAAACATTATTTCTACTTTATCTGAAAATAATATTCACTACAATACAAATAAATGGACCAGTAACGAGGATATTCATTCGAAGAGTGTATCCATTTTATAATTTTTTCTATTGATGATCTTGTACTTTTTACAGCTCTTTTTTCAAAGCATGTGGAAAACTTTTTCCCGCAACTTTATGAAAACGGTTGTAATTTGCCTGCTCATCTTGGTAATTTACATCTTACAAAATTTTATCCGTTTATCACTTTTAATAATTTAGGGTGTTCTCAAGTGCCTTAGTCAATCGATCGGAATAGGGTCGGGGGCAAATTTTAATTAATAAAAAATTG